CAATACAGTGAGTTACAACACAGTTACTCTTAGAGTAAGTCCTCACTTAAAGATAGATTCTTGGAAATCGTGACTAAGTGAAATGACATACAGCAGGCCCTCTAATAACATTTTCTTCAACATTGCTTTGTTTTCATGTTGATGAGAAAAAGATGGTTTTGTTATATATCATTTTACTTGACAGTTTTCAAGAATCTGTACATGATGTTTCTGTATAACTTAAATGAAAACTCTGATTAACCCAATTGAGCTCTTAAAAAAAATGATGGAAGTAAAACTCTATGTAATTAAGAAGTAAATATGTCTATATGGATTGTATTAAATTCTCAGCAAAATTTTGTTTCTATTAGTCCCCAACTCCAAGTAAAAACCAAGGTGAAAGTTTGCTAAGGCATTGAAGAATGAAAGATTTCTTCATCAGTCAGAAGTTCATGCAATAAACATTTACTGACCACTAGATGCAACCAAATAAGAAAGAAAAGAAGGCAGAGTACTATGACATGTACAATGAATATAATACACTATAATACACCAGAATTATTGATGATAATTATCAAATAAGTGAATGGGGTTGCCAGCAGAAAGGATGACAATAAAGTAAAGGGAAGCATAGATGCAGCTTGTAATTCAACCTGGGAAATGTTTAGGAAACAGTCTCTAAGTATCGATGCCTTTGGCTGCATACCTCTCTAATAATGAGGAGACTAACCAGCTCAGGTTAAAAGCTTCTGCTATTTTTTAAGACCCGATAGACAGAACCCAATAGTATACCACCCTGTGTTTGGTGGAGAAGATTTAGAAAATACTCCCAGTATGTGTGAAGATTTTGTCCTAACAATGCCATGATAAACACGTTCTTAAATTTCCAGGAATTGATTTTACATTTCTGTTTCCCTAGGAAAAGTATCCTGATTAATCTCTCTTATGCCTTAGAGTATATTCTGATATATGTCAGTTAAAATTGATAGCCACTCAATTGGGAATCCATTCAGGATGCTTTGCAAACACAGAGTAAGGAATGGCTAATTTCTCAATTCACATGAGCTAAGCAAATTATGTAATTTCTTTTGAGACTCAGTTTCCCTTAAAGTGACTATTCTAATTTACCTCACTAGGTTGAAAAAAAAATCACATACAAAACATACCCAGGCACAGAGTAGCTGCCACTTTTACATATCTTTATTGCTGCATATTTTAATAAGAATTAGGAAGAAGTATCTAATGTACAAGATACTCTTTTGGGCAATCCTCATTTATTGTCCAACAAAAATAGCATAATGATTCAAATCTTCAGCCTAGCATTCAAGCCTGTCCACAATCTGACCCACGCCTGCTATTGCAACCTTAATTTCTCTTATTAAACACACTATCATGCACATTTTGGAATTCTTCCCCAAGCTACCTTAGTACAGAATACACACACACACACACACACACACACACACACACGGACATATATATATATATAAAATATAAAATATGTTTAATTATATACATAATTACATAATGTATATATAATCATAATACATAAGCAATTATATAATATATAATATTTTTTCTCCAAAAGACAAATTTTCTGTGCATACAGAATCCACTCACTCTTTTTCTAGTGACTGAACCTGGCATCTCTGGGGTCACCCTGTCTCACCATTCTCAGCACTTGTGCTTGAGGCTAGGTAATCCACTTGCTTAGCTTGGCTATGGTGCCTGTGAACTAAGTCTGCCACTTCTTTTATATACATCTCCTGGCTAAAGTAATGAGTTTAGAGTTAGGAAGAAGACCACAGTAAGAGCAATGAGAAGCAGTGAGGGGTTTTTTTTGTGCGTGTGTGTGTGTATGTGTGCGCGTGTGTGTGTGTGTGTATTATCTATGGAAAATATATTCTAGCTATTTCTTCTGGAACTGAAAACTAAAGCCTATAGTACTGTAATCATGAGTTGAGAACCAGCTTAAACCCACCAGTGAGGTATGCTAAACTTAAAAATGGGGAAAGAAAAATTGAGTTTTAATCAAAGTATTTTAAGCCCTAAATCCAGTGTCATCTGGGGAAAAAGATCTCCCTTTGAATTGTTTATATAGCCAACACGTTTTTCTTCTTTTCATTTTTCTGTTTAGGTAGGTGTGGATCTTTCATTTGATCACTTGAAGATTCCTAACTGATGCTTCTCCCATGGTACAAATATCTGGAAATTTTACCTATTTGTTTTATTCTCATAGAAGTTAACGGCTATTCTGGAATATGAACTATATAAAATTAAAAGTGAGAAAAAAGCACAATACAATTTATAACCTCAAATAAGGAATTGTGGCAAGTATTAAAGGTGTTTAAAGCAAGAATTTTATTTAGTCCAGAAAAGATAGTCAAATTTAAGCTAAAATAACAAAATATTAAAATGCAAGCCGATGGAACTTTAAATCACCCTCAAACATTTCAGTTTTTTAACTTTGATGTTTTATTGCTAAACAACATGACATACTTTGTTTCTGTACGGTAGCATTTAACAATTTCAAAGATTATATTCAATCTGGCACTATAAAATTTTCTATTTTCCTGTAACTTTTAAATGCAGTCTTACTTTTATATTTTATAGTCATCATCATGCCATTTGAAGAAATATTTATGTTTACCATAGTATTTTCAACAGAATGCTGCCTTAAAAAAATCCATAAAGTTAGCCAATCAAGAATACAAATGATCTGCAGCTGGGTTTTTTAACTTCTCCTCCTATTAATACTCTAGCATTACCTAACTCCTTCATTTATTGTTCTGTTTTCAAAAGAGCTCTTAATTACTTCCATCCCCATTTCAGTTGTAAATGCTTCTTTATGGCCATTCTTTCATTAGAATAAATCCTCCAACCTATTTGAGGACCCGACAGTTCACTACTGATTTACAAGTGATTCAATTTTATTAATCAGATGTTTTCCCTGGCTTTGGGATGTCTGTACTGTAGGTGCTGGTAGCTGTTGAGGAAGAACCCCCTTTCCTTCTCCCTATTTCTTGGAAAATATGCTGGTATTATTTCAGCATTTCATTTCAGAAAGAATAACATTAGAAATAACTAGGGAAAAATAGAAAATCTTGTAATTGTTTTGAAAAGAATTATTATTCCGCACTGGTAGCTGTACAAGCTACAGTTGCAGTGGGGATAATATGACCTATAAAAGATTTGTCTGAAGTTCTCCATTAGACATTCTTTCTTTATAGATTTAAACCTACTCTTTAATTCCCTTTCATGGGACCAAGTCATGCAACCACCGCACAATATTTTAAAAGCAAAATTAAACAACACACAGGTAGCCACATTAAACAATTATAGTGGTTGATTTCAGCATATATTTGAATGTTCAGAAAATTTCTCTTTAAAATATATTTAAAACATGCTGTATTTTTCTGTTCTCATGCTGCTAATAAAGACATACCCACTCTCAGTCATGTCTTTATTAGCAGCATGAGAACAGACTAATAAGACTAGTGTGGAGATCGCCCTGTGAGAGGCTAACAACTTGGCCTCCGCCATTAGGTGAGCTTGATTCCTCACACACTCTCCCTGGCTGGAGGCTGTCGAGCTATGGGGAAGAAAAATTAGGAGAAGAATGACTAAACAGAACACTATTTTCAGACTTCTTGGCTGATGATATAACGGCTGGGTGAATGCCAAGTGGTCTCACAAGGCATTGTGTCCCCCTTTTCTGGCTCCTGATCTAAGCCTGTTTTATGACTTTGTTTACCAGGCATTGTTTCAGCCTGGCAACCTCCCCTGCAGTCCTTGTCTTTTGCAGATGCATGATTTACTGCTGAGCTTGTGACTTCTAGATAATTGAAGATTGTTATCCGAGTTACTGGTTGTTCTGATAATATTGATAATCAGCATCACCTACTTCCCCCTTGATCTTTTAAATCAGTATTTGTTCCTTTTACTAGTTCCCCAGAATTGTTTTCTGTTTCTTTTGTTATTTGAAAAAAGCTTTGATCTGACGTGAACAACATTAAGTAGAAAAGTATATAATGGAACCTACTGCACAAATAAATCGCTGTTTGGGCATAGCCTAAGCAGTCCTCCAGACCCCTCTCTGTCTCCTATTTTTTCCCATGCACGCCCTCTTCCAGGTTTGGGACCCTCTCGCTGGATGAGACTCCTGGGCTTGGGCTCGCGTTCAGTTCACAACAACTGAGTAATTATAAAGAAAAGATGTTTAATTGAATTACAGTTCCACATGGGACGCCTCAGAATCACGGTGGAAAGCAACGAAGAGCAAATCACATCTTACATGGTGGCAGGCAAGAGGGCAGGTGCAGGGGGACTTCCCTTTTAGAAAACCATCAGATCTTGTGAGACTTGCTATCATGAAAAGCACAAGAAAAAACCTGCTCCCATGATTCAGTTACCTCTGGGTCCCTCCCATGACCCACAACACTTGGAGGTTATTACAATTCAAGGTGAGTTTTGAGGGGGAATACAGAGCCAAACCATATTATTCTTCCTATGGTCCCTCCCAAATCTCATATCCCTTTCACATTTTAAAACACAATCATGCCTTCCTAACAGTCTCCCAAAGTCTTAACTCATTTCAGCATTAACTCAAAAGTCCACACACAGGCCAAAGTCTCATCTGAGACAAGGCAAGTTCCTTCCACCTATGAGCCTGTAAAAACAAAAGCATGTTAGTTACTTTTTTTTTTTTTTTTTTAGGTTTACACTCATTTTATTATAAAAAAGTACAGAATCCAAAGTTGACTGTGATTGGAAGAGGGGAGGCCCAGTTGCCAGCTCCAGGCCTGGCAATGTGGCTCACCCCGCCAACCCCCTACAAAAGCCCTCCGCTCACCCCCACCACCAGGCGTGCCTGGAGCCGCTGGCTGGCAGCCGTACACAATTCATATTTATATATAATATATATAAAACACAGAGTCAGGAAAGGCAGGTAGAAATATGAAATCCGTATAAATGTGTTGCTTCCTTCATTAAAGTGTCTTCAGGGAGGGGGTTGATTTTTGTTTTTGGTAGTGGCTTCCTCCCTTTTGTCCTTTTCTCTTTTTCTTAGAAACATTATCAGGTCACAGAGTCGAGGGAGGGGCTCTCACAGATGAAATGAGCTTATTGCGAAGTGCAGCTTCTACTCTAAAAATCTAACCCACCCCCCACCAAAATAAAAGACCCCCTATGAAGGGCTGAAAAAACATAAACGGTCCAGTCCATCCTCAGGAATACATGAAAAATAAGATCACAGTATGCACTTGCTGGCTCTATTTACAGGAATAGAAGGTCTTCTGGCCTCAGGGAGGACAGTGTGAGGTGGTGGGAATGGGAAGGGGGGGTGTTTGACTCGGCGAAAGTGGTTTCTAAGACATGGGGGGCTGTGATTCCGAGGGGCACCGGGTAAAAGAGTGACCGGGAGGAAATTACCAGCAGGACGGGGGTGGGTGATGCGGTGTGAGGTCCCCCCAACAATCAGGGGCACTCACCATGCACTCCTTCCGACTCAGACTCACCCAACCTGGAGCAACTGGGGCCTCCGTGGTGGGCTGCAGCCAGAGCCCCCTAAGTGGGGTGCAGAGCAGAGAGGAGCAGCTGTGTCCCTGACCCCATGTTCCAAGTTCTGAGTTCCCCTCCCCCAGGCTGGGGCACACGGACCCCGCCCCCCTGAACAGCAGGGAATAAATTAAATTAAAAACTAAAGCGTTTTTGATCCAGCTATGAAAAATAAATTAAAAAAAAAATCTCCAAGAGGTTTCCGGGTTCTCTGTCGTCCCAGAAGAGATGGTTTGGCCGGGGCTGCAGCGACACCCCAGCCCCTCGGGCCTCGGGGGGCTCTTGGCCGTCCCCTCCCCGAGGGCTGGTCCTGGGGCGGGTGGCCGGCTCCTGCCCGGCAGGGTCAGCACCAGTCGAAGGAGAAGGAGCGTCGGAGGCGGGGACCACAGGGTCAGTCCGGAGGGCCGAGGTCAGGCAGTCCAGGAGGGGCCCTTCAGCAGGGCCGGCGTCCTGCGGGGCTGGGACTAGGAGGCCACGAGAGTCCAGAGCACAGGTACGGTGCTGAGGAAGAGGTGGCAGCTGCCTAGGCTGCTGCACGAGTTATTGCTGGTAAAGATCGGCTCAGGAGCCTCGTACAGGGTCTCACTGGTCGGCCGCAAATACACTTTCAGTGGCAGGCAGGGCCGGTCCACAGCATGGGAAGGCGTGGCAGAGATGTAGTAGTACTCATGGCCTGGCCAGAACTCAAAGCCCAGGGAGAAGGGCGTGAAGAGCTGGAACTTCTCCGAGAACTTGAGCGGGTCCCCGGGAGCGGCGGGACGGTTGCGGGCCCCCGGGAGCGGCGGGACGGTTGCACTCCCAGAGCTTGAAGCCGCGCTGGCGATGGTCGCAGGAGGCGTGGCCCTGGCCGTTGACCATGCACAGCACGTAGTGCTCCATGCTCAGCCGGCGGCAGCGGCGCCCCTTAGTGCGGCAGTAGATTTCAGGTAGTCGTTGATGCTCACCTCCACCGTGTAGTCCCCACCGTCGTACCCCGCGCCTGCGTGGAACCCAGCCTCCTCCATCACCCCTGTGAGCCCAGCACAGAGGGCAGTGGGAGGACGTGTGGCAGGGAAATCTCCCCCGCTCCAAGCCTTGCACTTCTGGGCTTGGGTCTGGATTTGAGCCCAGATGGGTCTCGAGGCTCATCCTTTTCTCAGAGGCTCCTTTCCCAACCTGCAGGCGGATGTCTCAGCTGTTGGATACTCGGGGTGTGTCCACACACATGCGGGGGCAGCCCTCAAACAGGCTCAGACAGAGACGAATGTGGCCTCAGCCCACCCCTCGGGCTGCCCCATTGGCTGCCAAGCACAGGCGTCTCTTTGACCCGATGGCCCCTTGGGCACGATCGATGAAAAAACTGCTCCAGCCTTTTTGAAAAGTCATTTTCGTTCCTGCCCAGCAAAAGCCCATTGATCAGGCCGTCGATGGCAGCCAAGGCCCAGCTCCCGCCTGGGACTGCCCACACCCAGGCCACCCCTCAAGGGAGGCCTCCATGGGGGAACCACAGGGAGGCCTGGGTTGCCCCCCCGCCCTCTGGCCTCAGTTTCTCCTCCTGTCCTGGCCATGATGCCTAGGGAGCCACATTCAGCCCCCAAAAAAGAACCTGGCTCCTAGCAGGATGCTTCTGGAGACAGAGCGGCCTTGAAAAGCGGGCCCGCAGCACCAGCCCTGTGCCTCTAACTCTGGCCTCTTGGTTCCCGGATGGTGCCTGCCTCCTTCCCCTGTATCTGACACCACCGTGTTCTCTCTTCCCATTTTACCTTCAGTAAAACATGAGAGACCGAGGCTTCTGTGTGGGCTGAGCGGCCGGGTGCCCGGGCTTCGCCAGGCTGCCGCGAGGGTCCAGCAGGGCCCAGCCTCCCCAAATCCCAAGCTTGCTCTTCTGAATGCAAATCAGACCCTGTAACACGTCTGCAGTGGCTCAAACCCCTCCATCTGCTCCTGATCCTCAGAATAAAATCCACACCCCTCTAGGCCTGTGAGGTCCGTCCGCTCCACCCTCCTTGTCCTCCTCCACCCAAAACGCTTCCCTTCCGGCCACACCAGCCTCCCAGCTGCCCCTGTTCCCACCCATGCCCTTTGCATGTGCTGTTCCCACCGCCTGCAATGCTGTTCCCTGTGCCCCGCCGCATACCTCATCTATTCCTCTACAGAGTTTGCCGTCTGAAAATCCGATTCTGAGGTTGACCGTCTCTGTCCCTTCCCCAGGAGCCCTGCATGGCTCCTGCAGACAGTGGCACTTGATACATGTTTCTTGCCCGAATGAGTGAATTTAAAAGGTCAAGAGGTGAGGACATTGAGGTGCCGGAGTTGTGGGGAGCAGCCCCCAGGTGTGTGTGAGAGGCAGATCCCAAGGGTCCCCGGCTCTGGCTGCAGGAGTGGGGCCATTTTTTTCCCTTTGCGCCTCTAAAATAGCGGCAGCCGTGCTGTGTTGGTATTCCCCGTTCCAAGTTGGCGGGTGAGCTGCGGTGGGCGCCTTGCCCCTGTTCAGGGTGGCGCCCCCAGGGGCCCCCACCCCAAAACCGCGCCTGGGGAGAGGCAGTCAAAGCCTTCCCTTCCTCCGTGAGTGAGGAGGCCTCGATATGCAAATCTTCCCTGGGAGCCGCAGAGAGAGATTGAAATTCTCACTAAGGGGTTAATGACTGATTTGGGAATTTTCCCAGACAAAGCAGTGGCAGCTTTTACTTCTCCAGGTTCTCTCTGGTGGGCCACACCTGCCCCAACCCCCAACCCGCCCCCCTTGCTCAACCTGCTGAAGCCAATGTCCACACCTCCAGGCCCCAGGCCAAGCCTCACCCAGCAGAGCTCCCCTCCTGCTCACTGGCCTCTGAGGCTGTCACCCCTTCCAGCAGGCGGCCTGGAGCCAATTAGCTCCAATCCGGCAATTGTCAAGTCATTAGACGCTAATAGCTAAGCCACTAATTAGGAATCTCACCCAAACCTGGGGTAGGGTGGGCTGCGTGGCCTTCCATGACTGGAAACTGAGGCAGTGGTGTGGCTGGCAGCCAGGACCCTGTGGGTGGGCAGGTGGGTGCCCGCACTGGTCCTCATCTCTCTTCCAGGGTCGAGAGACTCCCGGGGAGGCCCAGGCCGGCTGGATATGCAGGCAGCCCGGGTCCTGCGGCCCGGCGTAGGGCTGAGGCCGCCCATCCCCTCCTGCCGCCCCAACTAAGACCTACTGGGATGACAGCACCCTCACCAGCACCCACACCTGGCTCCTCCAGGGCACGAAGAGACATCTCCCCTGACTGAGGGCTGGCGCTTTTCCTCCTGCCCAGGACCTGGGTGCGGCCTGAAGGGAAATTAGTCCCCAGGATGGTGCAGGGTCCGCCTGAGAAAGGACAAGTGTGGCCTTGTGGTGCAGGAGGGTAAACTGAGGTAGGGCCCTAGAAATGAAGCAAAAGAGGAAATAAGCAAGCGGAGGGAAAGATGGGCTGGGCAGGGTCGGCCCGCATGGGCCTCCGACACTGTGGGCGTGGGGACAGAGTACTCTGGGTACAGAGTGCAGCGGGCACAGCTGGCCTTGGCTACCCACCGTCCCACCCCTCCTAGGGCTGTGCCTGGCTCCCCCAAGGCCAGCCCCAGGTGGGGACGCCCTGGACTATGCCCGATTTCTGGGTGGCCTTGGGGGAGTCACCATCTCTCAGGGCCTCGGCTGCTCTGTCTGTGAAGTGGGGGCCCCCTACCCACAAGGCGGGGGGGGGGGGGTGTGTGTGAGGGGGAAACAGAGCTGGGAAGGCCGCTGCTGAGTCTCCCGGCCAGACCCCACGACAGCCCATTCCAGGATCAGGTGTGGCACGAGCCCTCACCAGGGCCAGCTCAGCCACAGAGTTCAAACTGCTGCTTGAGGTTCAAAAACTCCGCCGGTGCGTCTGCTCCTTCTCGGGCTCCCTGCCGAGTGTCTGGGGCGGCAGCACGGTGGGCACAGGGACAGGAGGGCTCAGCCCTTCCCTGAGCAGGGGACAAAGCCCAGCTCTCCCTGGGGACCCATCAGCAAAAGAGGCCATTCCCACATACAAGGACCGCGGGGCGAGGATGGCGGCATCTCGGTTCCAGAGGAGAGAAGCCGTGTCCCCGGGAACACATGGTCACCGGAGCAGGACCCTCACGGATGACAAGGAAACCACCAGCTCCACAGAAAAGCTGCCACCCAAACCCCCATGAACGCATGACCCGCTGCCTCCGCTGTGACCCCGAGGGACCCACGATGGGTCGGTCTCCTGCCGACCTTCGGAGACGTCAGCCCGGACACAGGGAGAGGTCAAATCTCACTACTCTCACGGACCCCGCCATGGAGCCCCCTTCCCTCATTGCAGACTGAGCTTCCCAGGGAGGCCCTCGGTGGGGGCGGAAGGCCTGGGCCACCCATCCTGCCCCAGGACACCCAGAGACTCGGGTAGACAGAGACCCGGAGAGACCGTGAGACAGAGACCCTGGCGCCTCGGGCGGGATCATCCTCCACCACAGGAGCTGCCTCGGATCCCCCCGTGGGGAGAGGACACTAAACCCCTGGGACCACCCTCGGGCCTTTGCCAGTCCAATTGGCTGAGCTGCACCCCCCCCGCCGGGCTCCCAGTCACCCCCACTCCACGGAGCAGGCCTGGGGGCTCCAGGCTGCCAAGCCACCCGCCCGACATCACACCCAGGCCTCCCAGACCCCTAAGTCCAAGCCCAGGCACCCCACGGCCTCCAGGACCGCAGCCTTGGGGCCTCTAATCCCCCAGCCGACCTGACCAGCTTCTCTCAAACAAAACAAAAAACCCTCATGCAGCAAAACACAGCATCGTCCCCTTCAAAGCTGGCTCCCCCAGAGACCGAGGGACACCTCGGAGCCACGGAGAGTGGGACACCCACTCACTTCTGTCCTCTGCTGGGGGACGGCTCCTCCCTTGGGACCAGGCCCCCATGTAGGTCGCCATTTTCTATCTGGTGTTTGAAGGAAGTCCAGCTGCTGCCTACACCCGAGGGTCCGTGGGGAACCCCAGGAGGGTGGCCAAAGCCCAGAGATGCCGAGGGTGGGCACCTGCCCAGCCAGTGCCCCAACCCAGGTCCACGTGGGCTGCAGATTTTCAATCAGAAGGTGGAGACTCCCAGGGACCCCAGGCCCTGCATCCACCCCATTCTGAGACTCGATGGCTGTCTGCACACAGGCCCTGGTCCTGTTCCCAGGGAAGGAGGAGAGGGAGGGCCAGCAGTAGAGTTGCTGGCATGGATGGTGCTGGGGCCACCACTGCACCCATATTGCAGGCCCTAGGAAGGCCAGAGCTGCCCCCAGGCAGACACGCTTACACGCACCCCACACAGACACACACACTCGCCTGCGTTCCATGCACAGACAAAATGCATGCATGGCACATGCAGACAGGCACAGGGTCTCGGACACTGCAGATGCTCCGTGCACGGGCATCCTATGCAAACTCGGGTGCTGCACATGGGCACACTTACACACACGCGTGCACTTCACATGCAATCACAGAACAGATGTGTGCAAATGCACCAGAGCTGTGCCCTTTAGGTTCACTCAGCCTTCTGCCACACAGACATGTGTGTGCACCCCACATACAGACAGGCACCTCCCAGGACATGTGTGTGCCATGCATGAGAACACGCCAGCCACACGCAGCCACATGTACAGCCACAACCTGCAGCAGGATGCGACTCCAGGGCACACCTGTGCCCCCCCACATGAACACACACAAGCAGCCGTGGAAATGTGCAGGCAGTGCCGTGGCCAGGCCAGATGAGGGCAGCCAGGCTAGGTCCAAGCCCCAGATGCCCCATCCCAATGTGGCCCAGCTGGAGACAGACCCAGAGATGCCCAGCGGCCAGCTCAGGGGTGCCCAGATTGGGGCTAGGTCGGACAGACGCTGTACAGTCAGCAGTGGGGGTGGTGGGGCTGGCTGGCCAGACCACCCAACAGGGCCCCACCTTATAGTGGCCCGGGGAGGTGGGTGCCGGGCCCCTGGGCGACTTCCGCTGCGGGTGCAGGCAATACATCTCACAGGAGGGAGGGTGTGATTTGGAGACAGACCACATGGTCATCGCTGGGCACAGGTGCCAGGCCGGGGGGCATAAGGGGCAACCGGCCATGCTGTGGCACTGTCCAGGCCTGCGGGTCCCATCGAGCTCGCGGTCCCGTGGTGCCCATGCTGCTGTCTGCCCCGGAGGCCCCCTCTCCCAGCCCCGTCTCCCAGTGCCTTTCTGCGTGCCCTCTCAAAGACCCAGGGTCCCCAATTTTCCTACACATCTGCCCAACCCCATCATCCCTCCCCAGCCAGCCCAGCCTCATGCCTTAGGTCTGCTGGCCGACGCCGCTCCTCTCCACAGGCGAATGTCCCCTCCACAGGGTCCCCTTGCATACAGAGGCCCAGCGCCACCCCCTGCCATGCCTGCCACCCCTGCCACTCAGGCACAGGTCCTGAGCAGGTGTCCCGGACACGAGATCTGAGGGCTGCAGAGACCTCGATGTCGGCGATGACGCCAGGATTCTGGCAGATCCTGCCTTCCCAGGCAAGGTGCTGACCTAGCCCTGGGCCATGCTGCTGGGTGTCGGCTTGGTCCCCAGCAACCCTGGACACCCCAGGCAGGAGAGGAAGGAGGACGAAGCCCGTGCTGCCAAGGCCGGCTCTGCGGACCCACAAGGCAGTCTCCTCAGGCGGCGGTCTGAGCTGGGCTGTCAGGTCAGACCCGGAGCAACAGGAGGTGGCCAGGTGGCTGGCCCAAGCCAGGCGCTGGGGAGGCCACTTCCTTCCCCTGGCTGGGGGTCCTGCCCGCAGCTCTGTGGCAGGTGGGGCAGCAGGACGGCTCTGGTGACCCCCTTCCTCCCCGGCTCCCGGGTCCTCTTGTGTCTGGCATTTGCCAGAACAAAGGACAGGCCACGCTGGGGATGGAAATTCCGCAGCTGAAACCAAAAACTTGGGCCGGGGAAGCGTTGCCCGCTGGGATCCCCTCACGGCCAGCGACAGCCTTAATCAAACCCACATGTGACCAGCACAGCGGGCGGCGTGGGGACCGGCTCTGAGGTGGGCCAGCCGTCCCCCAGCAGCCCGGGGTCCCTGCCCTCAGCCCCCAGGGTCCCGACCCCGAGGCAGTCAATCCTGGTGGGGGTTGGGCCTGTGCCTGCTCCCCACCCCCAAGGGGGAACACCGGCCGCCCCTGTCCCCGAGCCTGCAAAGAGGCCCCTTCATGCAACTTTCCTCCAGGGGACCGGGGACAGCAGGACACAGCCGGGACAGGAAGGGATGGCGGGCTCCAAAGGGCGGCAGGGTTGGCACAGGAAGCGGCTGGGGTTGCTGCGGTTCCAGTAGACGGCGTAGCGGTCCGAGTTGGCGCGGGCGGCGGCGGCGGCGACAGCGGCAGCAGCAGCAGCTGCAGCTGCAGCAGCCGGCCCTGAACGGGCGCCATGGCCCGGGTCGGGCCGCCGCACTCGCTCTCCGGGCCGCCGCCTGCCAGCCTTCTCCGCCTCCTCCGCCCTTGCCGAGCGGGCAGGCGGGAGGAGGGCGCCGCGGCGCTTGGAGATCCCCGGCCGCCCCGCCTCTGCGCTCGCGAACTCGGGCGCCGAGAAGTCAGGCGGCGGCGGGGCGCCAGGGTCGCCCGGGCGCGGGACCCGGCCGCTCCGGCTCTCGGAGCGCGGGCCGCCGCCGCCGCCGCCGCCGCAGCAGCAGCCTGGGCGGGCGCATGTTAGTTACTTTCTAGATACGATGGGGTACAGGCATTGGATAAATGCACCCATTCCAAATGGGAGAAATTGAAGAAAATGAAGAGGCTACAGACCCTTTACAAGTCTGAAATCCAGTGGGGCAGTCAAATCTTAAAGCACCAAAATGATCTCTTTGACTTCATGTCTCACATGCAGGTTACACTGATGCAAGAGGTAGGGTTGCATGGCCTTGGGCAGCTCAATTCCTATGGGTTTGCAGGGTACAGCCCCACTCCTGGCTATATTCATAGGCTGGCATTTAGTATTTATGGCTTTTTCAGGTGCAAGGTGCAAGCTGTTGTTGGATCTACCATTCTGGGGTCTAGAAGATGATGGTGGCCCTCTTCTCACCGTTGCACTAGGTAGTGCCCATTGAGGACTCTGTGTGGGGGCTCCCACCCCATATTTCCCTTCCCCACTGTCCTAGCAGAGCTTCTCCATTAGGGCTCCACCCCTGCAGCACATCTCTGAGTGGACATCCAAGCTTTTAAATTCATCTTCTGAACTCTAAATAGAGGTTCCCAAACCTCAATGCTTGACTTCTGGGCACCCACAGGCTCCACACCACATGGCAGCTGCCAAGGCTTGGGGCTCACACCCTCTGAAGCCACAGCCCAAGCTGTACTTTGGCGCCGATAGCCACAGCCACCTTGGCTCCTGTTAGTGGCTGGGATGCAGGGCACTAATTCCCAGGCCACATAAAGCAGGAGGTTCTGGGCCCATTAAATAATTTTTTCCTCTTAGACCTCCAGGCCTGCAATGGGAGGGGCTGTAGTGAAGGTCTCTGACATGCCCCAGAGACATTATCTCCATTGTCTTGGTGATTAACACCTGGCTCCTCATTACTTATGCAAATTACTGCAGCCATTTTGAACTTCTGCCCAGAAAATGGGTTTTTCTTTACTACTGCATTGTCAGGCTGCACATTTTCCAAATTTTGGTGCTCTGTCCCCTCCTGAATGCTTTGCCACTCAGAAATTTTTTCCACCAGATATCCTAAATCATCCCTCTCAAGTTCAAAGTTCCACAGATTTCTAGGACAGGGGCAAAATGCCTCCAGTCTCTTTATAGAACTAGAGTGACCTTACTACAGTTCCCAAAATGTTTTTTCATGATCTGAATCCACTTCAGCCTGGACCTTATTGTCCATATTGCTATTGGAATTTTGATCAAAGCCATTCAGTAAGTTTCTAGGAAGTTCCAAACTTTCCCACATCTTCCTATCTTCCGAGCCCTCCAAGTCTCTAGGAAGTTCCAAATGTTCCCACATTTTTCTGTCTTCTTCTGAACCCTCCAAACTGTTCCAGTCTCTACCTACTGCCCAGTTTCAAAGTTGCTGCCACATTTTTGGGTATCTTTACAGCAGTATCCCACTGCTGTACCTGGTACCAAATTTACTGTATTAGTCTATTCTCATGCTGCTAATGAAGACATATTTGAGACTGGGTAATTATAAATAAAAGAGTTTTAATGGACTTGGAGTTTCACGTGGCTGGGGAGGCCTCACAATCATGGAGGAAGACAAGGAAGATCAAGTCGTATCTTACATGGTGAAAGGCAAGAGGGTGTGTGCAGGGCAACTGCCCTTTTATAAATCCATCAGATCCTGTGAGACTTACACACTATCATGAGAACGGCACGGGGAAAACTCACCTCCGTGATTCTGTTACCTCACACTGGGTCCCTCCTATAGCACACGGTGATTATTACAATTAAAGGTGAAATTTTTGTTGGTACACAGAGCCAAACCATATCATACAGTGAAGATACACACACACACACACACACACACACACACACACACACACACTATGTTTATGATCTAGTATACATGTATGTGACTCTCTATATAAAATAGTTCATGGCCCTGGCCACTCAAAGGCTCTATTTGACCATAGTGATACAGATCCATATACTATTTCCATGTCTGTTCCCAGTTTTCCACACCTTTTACTGAAAAGACAGATTAGGCTGGCTCTCCTTTGCAATGTTTGACAGTGTAAAATCAGAGGAAAGAGTATGAAAGACTTGCATAGTCATATTTTGAGCTGAAACCAAGTTTTGTATAACAGTTTTCACCAGACAGCCTACACTGGGTGATGGAGGAACGAAGTGAAAGAAGGCAAAAAGAATGATTACTTCTCACTTAGTTATTATTCAATAAATTATTTCCATAAAACAAAACAAAGAAAGGAAGAGTTAATGGTAGCATTTGGGTATTAACTTGACATAAAATTTCTTAGAGAAGGTAAACAAATGTTGAGTAGAGAGATTGGCATTTTGTTGTTGGCTCTATCTAATTAATGATCAGATTTTGTAAATTCACTTGAAATTACTTTTCTTACCTGTAAAATAGGCTTAACATGTCAACCTACAAAAGTTGTGAAAGCTGAATGGAAGAAAGAACAGAAAGACCTACTGGTCTCTTGCATGGTAGGGTCCTCTTCCACCTTTCCACATTTTCTGATAGAGTCAAAAACATATGGCCCAATACCCAAATTTCCCCTGTTAAGAGAGTGGAGGGATACCATACTCCTCTGAAGCAGGAAAAACATGCATTTTTGAGTCATGAAAGCTCAGAGTTTTTTGTACTTAATGAATATACATATATACACACACACACACACATACATATATACATATAAACTATGATGGCTATAGTTTTATATATGGTCATAAATTGCTGAACAATGGGGAGACATTCTTTGAAATTCATTCATAGGCAATTTCGTCTTTGTGTAAACATCATAGAGTGCACTTACACAAACCTAGATGATATAGGTTACCATACACCTAGGCTGCATAATATAACCTATTGCTGTTAGGCTACAAAAGTGTAAGCATGTTACCGTACTGAATACTGTAGGCAGTTGTAACACAACGGTAAGTATTTGTGCATCTAAATGTAGAAAACGTGCAGTAAAAATACTGTATAAAGTATTATTTTGGAGAGTGGTGATGATGGAGACAGGTCTCACTCTCACCGAGGCTGGAGTTCAGGGGTGCAATCATGGCTCACTGCAGCCTAAAGTTCCTGAGGTCAAGCTATCCTCCTGCCTCAGACTCCCAGTGACTAGGAATGCAGATGTGCACCATCAAGCTTGGCTAATTTTAAAGTATTATCTAAAACACGGAGCAATTGAAGGAATAGTGATTTAGGGAAATTTTTGTATCCAGAGAAATGTTTCAATTTTCTTATTTTTTGCCATTATTTTACATCTAAATAGTTCTCTTTCATGAGCTCATTCTAAACCTTACCCATCCAGCTACAGTTTAGCCTCTATGCAAATTAGGCAACCTAAATTGTTCATCTTGGTAAGATGTGATACCCTTCACTGGATGGGAGCATCCCTTTTGTTTAATGCTGATAGAGTACCATAGCCCAAACTAGGGCTTATAGTCATAATCTGAACATGCAGAAACTCTAAAAAATCAGTTTGCTTAGTTCACCCAGCTCCACCTGCAAAATATAGCATAATCTGTCCATTTCCTTCTACCTCCACTATCATTCTCTAGCCCAGGTCCTATAACCTGTACCTGTATCACTGCAGTTGTTGGTCTCTCCTGTTCCTGTCTTGCACATTTTGATCTCATCTCCACACTGCAGACAGAGTTATCTGAATGCCCAGTTCATATAAAATTCAAATTCTCATCATAGTCTTCAGGGCCCTGCATGAACTACTCTCTGCTTAGCTCTCTCATATAATCTCTTATCATTCATGCACATACATTCTCAGGAGTGCCTGCCAGTTTTGTACCCAGTGAGCTTTTGCTCACGAAATGCCGTTTGCCATTGTTTTACTATCTTTTGAAATTTTCTTCCCTAAAGTTATTCTGGTGCTGACTCTTTCTTGTTCTTCAGGAGTGAGATTAAATTGCATCTTCTTACAGATGATTTATCTGACTAATCCCCTGAATTAGATAGAGCCTCTCTATCATTATCTGTGATTTACTTACATATTTCCAGATTCTTGCCTAAAATGTTATTTCCATAATTTCTGAAACTGTTCCTTATTTTTATTATATCCCCAGGACCTAGCATAGTGCTCTACAAATAATAAGCAATCAATCAGTATCTGGTTTAAAAAAAGAATACATGAATGAATTATGGAAAGATGTGAGCTCTACCTTACTACTCTCATCTCTGGTTTTGGACTCACATTCCAATTACAAATATATGCAAACAATGTTGGAGAATGAGGCAGGAAAGTGTATAACCAAATAGAATGTCCCACAAAGCAAAAGAAAAAATGTCATTTCCAAACACTTCACCTGCCAGTTATGACATTGCAACTGGAGAAAACGCCTATGCAAATTTAGCCATGCAAGCCCCATTTAGCTCAGGAAAATGTGTAGAAATTGATTGAGTGAGCAGCTGGTGATATTGTAGTCAGGCTCTCTGGAAGTTAATTGGGAAGCGATGTGAAAAATTCTGACATTGTACATGGAACTATGCTGACTTCCATTGTGCCCCAGACACTCATCACTCAGAGTTGCTCTCCACTAGTACAAAGTAACTGGATACCTCAGAGTCTCTGATGACTCCCATCAATAGCCTGCTAAGAAAACGGAGGAGGAGGGAGTGATGAGCTGGAGCTAGGACTTTTATAATTTGAATGAAAAAGCCCCTAATCTTAGGGGTTTTTGCTTCCTTCGTGAAATATTTTTTCCTCCAATAGAAAAAACAAACTCCCCTCCAGGGTCTCCTTTTGTATTATTCTGATAAAAAGTCTAGAATCGAAATTAAATTGCTTCTTTTCCTTGTGTTTAATTTACTTGTTTATATCAGTTACATATTGTTGTGGGACAG